GGGTTGTGGGGGAGAAACATAGAAGTGAGGACAACAAAAACAGAGATATATTGAAAATTGGAGTTAACAGTGGTAGGCTAATTTGAAAAGATGTGTCTATTCAGAGCACGCCAGGATGGTTTTCTGGTTTAAATATGTGACATGTATGAATATTCTAATAAAAACCATACCTTGGTGAGGAACAACAAGCCATCCATCTTCTACCACTTCTCCAGACTTCACATCTTCAGAAACCAGCTCTTCTCCCCCAAACAGGAGACGGGTGAGTCTTCTGAACATGATGGCTGGCTCTAGCTGAAAACTGACGTCCTAAAAAAAAGGGGGAAAAAAACTTGTAACACACAGACTATGTAGCAAGTCTGAGTCCTATGAGCAGGGCTGATACAGTGACAGCCTGGCTCTACATTATTTATTTTCAAACTTTACACAGGGTCCTGTCAGCTGACTGCGATGGCCAATGAGATTTCAGATTGTCCATAGGGCTGGAAAGGCTGCAAACTGTCCATCTGTTTCTGTATGCATGGAGGAGGAGCCTCTCATTATACAAGCCTCCAACACAGAAATAATTTATAAAACGTGTTTTTCTGCAGGATTTTTCACCAATGCTGCAAATTATGTAGTTTGAACTACTTAACATCAGATTAGCAGGTCGCAAACTGAAAAAAAAAAAAAGAAAGATCAGATTTTGGCTGAAAATATAGCTATACGGAATGGCTTGTATGTATTGATTGCTGTATATTAAAGTCTTTAAATTATTTAAAGAAATATCAGCACATTACAGCTGCAGCCTGGTAATTCAAAAAACGAAACATCATAAATATCCCGTTTTTAAAAGACTATATAACATGTTTGAATTAGTAGTTATGTTTCTAAATATTTCTACAAGTAGCAGTGCTTTTCTTACCTGTGCTGCAACAGAARCGTGTTTATTAATTTGACTCGAAGACCACTGTGGTGTTTTACTTTGTTTTTAATCCCTCTGTTATCTCTTGTTTTGTTTAATGGTTCAAAATTTCAACCGAACACTAACAACAGAAGCCCCGCCCACATTAACTCCACCCACTCACCGCAAAGAGCCAATCAGAAGCGTGAAGCCTGACGCGAGTGTTATCAAAGATTAATTATTGGAGTCAAGATAGTTCGCATCGAACTTCACAACATTTTCATTGGTAGGAGGAGAAAAAATAGACGAAGAAACTTTGCAAACACTGTTTTGCGTACACGACGTTTACGCTGGATGTCACGTGAGTCAACTTTTGCGTTTTTTTGTGTCGTCTTTATTTTGTTAAGTATTTAGGTTTTCGTTATGGCTTGAAAGCATCTTATGAAAGTATGTTTGCTGCAATAAGTAGATGGAGTGGCATGTTTTACTAAAGCGTGAAAGCTGACGCACCTGCCTTTTTAAAAACGTGCTCATATTTAATGTTCTCACCTGAGCTACAGCGCCACATAGTGTCTGCATTCAGTTTTTTTTTTTTTTGTAGAGTGCAATCACTGTAAAAACTGTAATTCAAACTTTGTCCAGCAGAGGGCGCAGTTACTTCACGGACGCTGTTATCCTCTTTAGGAGCAAGTGCTGCTTTGACTCCAATCAATGAACTCAGAAAAACAAACAAATAATAAACAAACAAGAAAAACACATCCCATTTTGAACCAATCAGACAAAACTAATAAATAAATAAATAAATAAATAAATAAATAAATAAATAAATAAATAAATACAAGGATCAATTTCATACTGCTTATTTTTAAAAATACATTCTACTATTCTGATTTTAGTAATTTTGATACGAACTTATGTGGTTATGCGCAAGAATAAATTATAGGAAAAACAAAATATTTGTGTGAGGGGAGGGGGGCGTCAATTACGTCACAGTCCCTGATGTTTATGTTGACCTAAAGTTATTCAACTGTGTCTTCAGCTCCTCCGGTCAGATGGACCTGGTGCGTGTTAGGACTTTTGTGGTGTGAAATGTGTGTGCGTGCGTGCGTGTGTGTGTGTCTTCTTCCCAAACACTTGAGCAAGTGATATGTGGATGTGGGGAGGGCCCTGAGGGCGAGCACACCCCTGCTGCCTGTGTGTCAGAGTATTTCAGAACAGAGAGCAGCATTTAGTCACTCAGGATTGGAGCTGTACAAATCACTCCGTCGGCTGAAGTCCACCTCAAGAAAAAAAAAAAAAAAAAAAACAACTTGCGGACCACAGAGGATACTTTTTTCCTTTATTTCCCCCCTGTGAGCACTGACGGACTTCTCGTTCATCTTGGAGGAAAAGCTGCGCGTCGTCACCACAGGCTGGTTTTTTACGCACACATATTTTCGCCTAAAAAGGACAATGCCTCGTTCTTTCTTGGTTAAAAAGTATTTCGCGAAACAAAAGCCAAACTACAGTGAACTGGAGTGCCAGAATGGTGAGTGACGAAGTTCTTTATTACCTAAGTAATTATTATTTTTTAAATTTAGTTCAGTGGTGAGGGGAAAGGCACCTGTTTTCCCTCTTTAAATAAAGTTTAGAAACATTTTGTGAACCAGACTACTCCCCGGTCAAGTCGAGGCCCGTTAGATGCACTTTCCCCCCTTCCTGCAGGCAGACAGAGCTCCATTCATGTTACAAGCTCTTGTGAATACGTGGGAGGGAACGGCCCCTGTGACTTTCCCATATGGCTCTTATTTTACGCTCAGTCAGTGCTGAGATTTATCCTGAACAAGCCCAGGACAGTGTGCAGTGATTTCTACTTGTTCAACTGGTTATTTGCACAGTTTTATTTCCTTTCTGCAGCAGCCTTTTTATTAACATTAACTCTGTGCTTTCACTTTCAGACACCTCACTGGAGCGGTACCCTCTGGCCGAGCTCTCCTCGGCGGACAGCAGCTTCCCTGCCACCTGCTTCACCACAGGTCTGGTGTGGGACCTGAGCGTCCTGCCCGCCCTCTACCTGCCCTCGCAGTCCGAGCCCTCGGGGGCCTCGGGGCCCCTGGACCTCAGCTCCCCCTGCAGCCTCAGCAGCGGCGCCAGCAGCAGCGGCGAGGAGGACGAAGGGCGCACCTCGGACCCCCCCAGCCCCGAGCCCGTGCACACGTACGCCCCCCGCCAGCGGATGAAGTGCACCGGCGTCATGGCTCACGTCGGCRGCCCCCCGGAGGAGGAGGAGGGGGAGCCCCCGGTCACGGCGGCCCGGCCGGCCTTCCTCTGCAAACACTGTCCCAAGGAGTACACCAGCTTGGGGGCCCTGAAGATGCACATCCGCTCGCACACCCTGCCCTGCGTGTGCACCACCTGTGGGAAGGCGTTCTCCAGGCCCTGGCTGCTGCGGGGCCACATCCGCACGCACACAGGTGAGTTCCCAGCAGATGTTTCGAGATGCTGAGTTGTCGCTGGGCGTCAGCAGCCCCCTCCCTCCCCATCAGGGCACGACCACACATCTGATGAAGTCAACACTTGATTATCACACAGTGAGGCCTCCTGTGGACTCAGCACTCATTGATCGCTCATTGTGTTTAACGTCTCGGCGACAATGGCTCGTGGGGTTAATTATCTTATCAGGGCCGCTGAGGGAGGCCCGCTGAATGGGGGGCCAGGGGAGGGACACAAAGCTCCAAAGAATGCCCGGAGGCTCGCTGCTATCACCGAACTCTTGGTACCTGCAGCGACTTGTTAGCGTGCTAATCTCATTTGGCTCTGATTAAATCATGGTGATTCAGTCAGGCTCTGACCCCAGCACCATGTGATTCTTCATTATCTTGTGTCACAATGTGTGTGTTGACGCATGTGTGAGGCGTTAATGGAGGCTCCCGCAGAGTGAGTGTGTTACAAATTATAAAGTAAAAGCACGCCTTTTATCATAGTGATGTGTCTTTAAATCACAATAAATAAATAGACAGTAAGTCTAGTCAGACGTTAAAGCTAACTAGTGAAAATCTGCGTGTTTGGATGCTGAGCTCTGTCCACCGCCCTGCTTGATCCACTATTCCTGACATCGGTCCGCTCGCGTTTTTTCACTCTTACTTTTCAAATTAAAAGTCTTGTTCCACCATATTTGTTTACCTACACCAGGGGTCTGCAACCTTCATGATCAAAAGAGTCATTTCTGCTACTTGGCTCACTGATCAAATGTGTCCAGAGCCGCAAAATAAGCTTTCAACTGTGATCATCAACTGGTGGTCCGTGGGCCTTTTCGAGGCCTTTTTTGGGAACTTTTGCGGCCAGTGGTGGTGACATTATAAAACTAAAAAATGTATTGTGAATTTGATTATTTATTACTATTTTTACACATCAGGACAAATGAAAACACCAGATTCATGCAAACAAGAAAAATACTCTTTATAGTTGACACAGAATTTCATTAACTGAACAACTGAACTATTCAGGCATTTTTTGTTTCTAATTCTTCTTATAATATAGTCTTTTCTTTAAAGGTAATTCTGATGGATTTGAGAGAAAGATCATAAAGAAATTGGATTATTTAAGTAAACAACAGGCTAGCATGAGCTAACATGTTTTACTTTTTTGTATTAGTAGTATTGATCACCTATTTTATTTCTGCCGAGTATGAAAACACACAAAAAAATCTATTATGTTTGGTCACATTTTCAAAGAGCCACTGTTGAGGGACCTAAACCAAATACAGTCTACTAATGTAGGTCACTCACGTGACTCAGTCTTCCAATGGAAACCTCATGTTTTGTTTACATTGAGTGCATACMCGCATTCCAAATGTATCAGGATGACCTTTGTTATTGTTTGATTTATGTTTGGAAACGAGTGACTTTTCAAAGTGAGGTAAAAACGATTTGTTTTTTTTGTTTTGTTTTCCTGCCCAGGCGAGCGTCCGTTCTCCTGCACCCACTGCAACCGGGCCTTCGCCGACCGCTCCAACCTGCGGGCCCACCTGCAGACCCACGCCGAGGTGAAGAAGTACCAGTGCGGCGTCTGCTCGCGCACCTTCAGCCGCATGTCGCTGCTGCAGAAACACAGCTCGTCGGGGTGCTGCTCCACCTCAGTGTGAGGAGGAGGACGTGTGTGTGTGTGCGTGTGCGTGTGTGTTTTTGTGGGAGGGGGCGGAGCTCCGAGCGATGGAGGACTTCTGGGTTTGGACAAGAGGTCTACTCCAGCCCTGTTAGCCTGTTTAAAGGACCACAAAGCCACAAAGATCATAACTTTTTGTTTTTATTTAAAAGACCTAGAGGGAGTCAAACCTCATCATGGATCTGACTTTACAAGCTTCTTCTCTTTGTTCCATTATAAAACTCTTGAGAAGCTCCTTTGTTTTTAGTTTCTGAGGCTGGACCACCTGAACTGAGCTTGAATCAGCCCCCACTCTCTCTCTCTCTTTTGCTATTGTGCTCATTCCGAAAACAACAAATTTGTTGTGAACCCGCCGGGGTTAGAGGTGTCTTTTCCTGTCTCTGTCCTGGTGCCGGGCAGCTCAGGATCATGGCGCAGACACAGCTGCTCAGAGGTAGGGGTGAGTGGGTGGGATAAATCTCTTGGCGTGTCGCAAATCACACACACACTCTCGAGCGCACACACACCAAAGCAAGTGCACACGCAGCTGTCCCCGGAGCTGCGGCGCAGATAGATGAGGCGCTAACAGGTGCCGCAGCCGTGACCTTCGCTGCTCGAGAGCAGGTGACTTCTAACGCCCTTGGTTTGCTCTGAAGAAAGAGGAAACGTCATCACAGAAGAATGGCACCAGTTTGTGTGTTTGTGTGTGTGTGTGGGGGTGGGGGGGTGAGATTAATTTAAGCCTCTGTTTTGACTAAACCACAACCTTTCGCTTTAATCCGATGAGTTTCAAAGATAGGAGAAGCCGTTTCCCCCACACGGCTCTGCTGCCACACGAAGCCAAATGAAAGCCRTGAACTGGAGGTTACCGCAGTGTTAAAGGAACCAGTCCAAGCCATAGGACCTACGTGAATGTGCCTTGAAATTTTAAGTGTTTCGCCACCAAAACGTGCCTTTTTTTTTACCTCGTTTTATTAGCTTTTAAAATGGATTTCAGTATTAGAARATGAGCTATAAAGTGCTAAAAGACTGGGACCAAAGATGCTAACAGTTTACACCATCACAGCCTGATGGCTGTGTGATAAAAGCCTTTATAAATGGACAATACAAATCTGAACCTGTAACTTTGACAAATATTTTATGGCTTTTTTTTTTCAGTGCAATGTGCAAATGATGTGTTACTTTTTTGTTTTGTACCAAAGCTTGTGTGTTCACCTCTGCCTCCTGTATGAAATAAATGATGCCTTTTCATTCAATAAAGTAATTTATGTTTATTAAAAACGGCCGTTGTCGTTTACTCCGGCGTGAGAGGGCAAACAAACCGTCCGCTCTGATTTGAATGAGGTTTGGTCGTTCGTAAACGTCTGTTTGATCATTAACTGGGAAATTCTCCTSTGGAGTTTTATAATTGGCGCTGGTGAAGTGAGTCATTGTGTGGAAACAGCGCTGCAGATGTGCAGGTGAAAACAGGGTTTGATGGTTTAGGAACAACCGAATGCACCTGCTTCCACTTTCCACCTGCCGTCCACTTCTCTGTCACTGAGCAAACAGTCAGGACATGCAAATGWATGAGCGTTGTGGGTCAGTCCGAAGGTTTTTTTTACTGGAATGCTCTTTGTTCACCTCTTGAGTTGTTTGGATAGTGGAGTTGTAGCTGTGTGAGTGATAGCTGAGTGGATATGTTTCAGTCTTGTGAGAGCATTTCCTCCTTTCTAGACGGTGAGTCAAAAGTGTGCAGACTGGAGCTTTAGGTTCCCATGGCTGCTCTGCTCTCAGGCCTCTCGTCAGCCTGTCTGTGAGCGTCGGTGTGCGTGGGCCCAGCCGGCCCAGAGAGCTGAACTGTTCCACAGCACCATTCCTGGTTTCCTCCTGACTCAGAGGAATGGGCTTCAGCAGCGCCGCGTTGTCTCACCTCAGCACGCCAGGTTTTCTTTTGAACCGTCTGAGCAGAAACACAGACCCACGGCTTCAGAGGGCTTCTGCCTGCCTGCGTTGGCGTTTTACCCAAGATGCTTTTGGGTTATCACTCAGCTGCTGGAGCTCTGTTTTGATGATGTAATCTGGGACGTCCTGGAGAGGGGATCTCATCTCTGTCAGCAAAAACAAGAGTTTTCAAGACCTATATCCTTGAAAGAAAGCGTATCTATATAGTTATTCATACTCGAGGAATTATATTTCAGMCAACTTTTTACTTTTTCACATATTTATCTGTGCTTTTTACTCCTAACATACTAAAAAAGTTCAGGAATAGAAAGTTGCTACTCCTATTTCAATTCAGCTTATTATTGTTGAAAAAATAAAAATCTATCCAGATACATGGCACCTCCCATATATAGTAAATTTGGTTGTGGTTGTRTGAGAAGTATAAATATRAATCATTCTGACACCCAGCAGGACATATCAGAGGTAAGAAGATGATCGTGGCAGAGTATACGCAGCTGAATGTTTCAACATTAACATTTTAATATACCATTATAATCAYTACGGCCTTTAGACAAATGATTTTAGGGAGGTCACCTCTCATTAAATGTTATTTTGGAGACTAACTGTTCACTTTCACTCAATGCTTCTACTTTAATATTTAAGTACATTTTACATCAGAAATTTACTTTTGATACTTAAATACAGTCAGTGTTAAATATTTAAGTAATATTCTTATACAAGACTTTAACTTTTACCAAAGTTTCATGGTAAGGTACTTGTACTTTTACCTAAGTGTCACCTTGAGGTACTTTGAGAACATCTCAGAGTTGTTTTAGTCAACTAATATGTTAACTTAGATCAATAWTTGTTAAACTGATAAAATGAGACATTTCTGAGTCCAGTTATCTGGAGTGGTCATCATGAACTGGAGTCACTCTAAAAGGTGATCAGTTATATGTAAGCAAACTGTGGTTCATGAGATATTTTGCTAACAGATAAATGAACACACATCAGTGCTCAGTCTAAAACGCTCTGTTTCCAGSTGTGCGCAGCGCTGGTTTCCATCAGAAACCCTTCCGCCTCGTCTGAGTGATAAAGTTTGTACATTTTAGCGGGGGGACGTGACGTGCCACGGCTTTGTAACTATTTTCTGTCTTCTAGCAGGGAGAACTAAAAAAACACAACATGCTCCCTTTCTTGTTTCCTGGGGAGAGCTCAGGGCCTGGATCTGAAACCTGAGAGCGTTTTCCTGCTGTGTGCTTTACAGCGCCAGAACACTCACTGTAATTTACCAAAAGTGGCTGCTATTTATGCCATAAAGCATGTGTTTAACATTCCTGAACCCCACTGTGTTTGTGTATCCCTCGCTCGCTCTCTCCCACTCACTCTCTGCCTGCCTCGCCGCCTGTGTTTCTATTTGTGTGTGTGTGTGTGTGTTGAAGTGGAAACGGTCCCTTCAGAGCTGCAGCCCTTTCCCTCTTCGCAGGAGGATCATCTCTCCCCCTCAGAGACAAGGCTGACAGGAAGTGGGAGTTTACATTGGCCTACTTTACCCAGAAAAAAGCAGGCCCGGGTAGAAGAGCTGCMGAGATCAAGTGCTTGTTCTGCTGCTGCTCTCTGCCACCACCAGAGCCGTGCCCCCCCCCCACACACACAGCTCAGCTGTCCCACCCTCGTGGCTGCTCTCCCAGCCAAGCTTTTCGGGGTGGAGCTGGGTGGCCAGAAATTAAAAAGTGGCCTTCAGAGCAGCAGCGGCAGCAGTCAGGGCTGTAGTCTGTGGGACAGGAAGGAGCCTGTCAGCGTGTCGTAAACAGAATTCATCCTGCACTCATGACACAGAGGGTCTGGAGAGAACGCTCCCAGGAAAGRCCTCCAGACCCCCGCTGTAGTCTGAGCTTTGGTCTGATGCAGCTCAGAATAAATCATAACAATGATGCTGCACATCCTGAGAGTCCTCGTTCAGTTCACAAACACATTTCCTCCTGCTGGTGCTTATATGATCATCACTAGAACTAAAAACTCAATCTGAAAAAAAAAAAGAAACTAAAAAAGCCTCGTCTGAAGAAGCTAACATCCTGGGGAATAAGTTGTAGCTGTTTTACTCAAACCTTTAAAAAATGACATCATGTATCATTTTAAACTATATTATGAGATCCTGGGTGGTCTTTCAGGACCTGACGTGCATTAATGATGACTCAGCAGGTTTTAGCTCAGTTTCTGTCAAATTAACTGAATTAGTCACTTTGTGTTTGCTGATGTTAGCTATGGCGGCCATCTTGAATTGTTCCTAAATGATTTTATTAAGATCTGTCCACAACAAGACACAGCAGCTACATGTTCCCTGTCTTGAGTGAGCAGTGATGACCTCAAACATGGCTTCCTCCTTGACTTTTATTTTGAAGAGCAGTTCCAAACTCATCCTCATGTTTTATGTTCCTCCTACAACACCTTTCACCTCCTTTGTTACTCCTCCACTCATTAGCACCTCTCTGTGTCCATCACCCTCCTCACATTGAATAGACTTCCATGTGTCCACGCACGCAGGAAGTTTTTTTCCCGTGAGTTTCGTCTCGGTTTTCTCACAGTGGAGCTCAGAGCTCGGACGTGAATGCCAGAAGGCAGAACTTCTTCCTCAGCTGCRAACAGGCCGGAGACACAAACCCTGCATCTGGTAAATAAGGCCAGCAGCAGAAACACCACAAGTATGCTTAATGACGGATCCGATCAGGCTGTGGAGCTGCCCCGGGGGCTGGAGCGGAGAAGTGGTTGGGTGGGTTGGGGGGCGAGGAGCCATATTAAAAAGTAATGAATCACACACTCAGTCACAGGGTCGCCGGCTATGAATGTGCTCTCTGTCGGTTTTCCTGGAGCCTGGAGTTTACYAACTGATGACGCAGGCTGGACTTGATCAGAGACATGTGTTGCTGAGGACCTGATGCCAGCGAGGAGGTGAGGAGGAGGAGGAGGAGGAGGGGGTGAGGAGCTCTGCTTTATGTGACTGGGCATCAGGCAGAGGTTTGATTAGAACAGATCCTCTGGGGATGTAGAACTTTTTTAAAAAACACCATCATTTTAAAACTTAATGTGGAATCTCAGCAAAAAAAAAAAAAATCTGATTTTACTCTGAAAACACAAAACAAACATTCCCAGACAGACAAAACACATTTCATTTATTCATAAAGAGATGAAATGTTCATTTTGACATTTATCAGTTTTATGTTAGTGTTTCATTCAGACATGAAAGTGACTGAATGAGTCAGAGTTTGCAGAACATTTGTCATTTTTAGAAAATTGGAGTGTGGCGTCATTAAAGTCCTCATGAAGTCACAGTTTTCTCACTTTGTACAACTCATATGGTTTGTAAAGAACACCATGGTTACATGAATTATACCATGTATTAAAGCAGCATCATTAGTGTTAGACGTGACATTGCACTACTGTAACCACAAAATGATCCTAAACAGAATACATGATCTTCTGTTGAATTAAAGACTCAACTTGCACCACTACATACATCTCTATAAAAATATAATAATAAACACACTGCATTGTGTTCAGAAATACTGYAGTWGATAAGAGCAGATCAAACATGAATCCTTAGACCAGGGCTAGTCAACTGGCGGCCTGCGGGCCACATCCGGCCTGCAAGGGATCAAAGTTTGGCCTGCCAATTGGTTCTTTCATCTCATAATTACTGTGAGTTCTTTTAGTAAGACATAGACATGTTTGGTATCTATAGAAATGTCAGAATCTTGGCTAGAACCTGGTTCTATGTAGCCTGGCCCTTGCCTTCCTACGCAGCTCCGCTCAATTCTAGTTTCCCTTCACTGCTCCATCTGGGACTTCTCCCATAGAGATGGATTTCACTGGCAGATTTTTAGCCGAACCAATCAGAGAAGAGAATGTCAATTTTCTGCACAGTGTCTGCTTGTAGTTTATTTTACCTGGGCCAATCAGAGAACAGAAGGAGGAGTTTTGAA